TTATTATTATTGTTATTATTATTATTACTGGTAACACCTGTGGGAAACATATTTTCTATATTTAAGTTGTTTTTAGTTTTTGTAAAATAAATAATTAAGAATCCTGCTCTTGTTTTTTTGCTGAATCATTCTGCACATATATCAGGTTATAAACTGTTTTTTAAATGTTGATTAAAGGTATAGCTCATAAAAGTGGGTTCCCAGCGCTATAAATTATTTTTCTTTATGTCATTTGCACTTATTTTTAAGTCCAATATTTATTTATTTGTCTGACGTGTGACGGGAACAAAACTAAAAAAAAACAACAAACTTCTTTAAGTTAAAGGAGCAAATTAAAAAAAGCCCCAAAACTGTGAGTTATAAACTCATTTTAAAGATTTTAATATATGTATAGCACATAAGAATATCTGCCCAGCAGTATAAATGATTTATAATGATTTCATTCTGATGTATTTGTTATTCTGTTTATTGGCCTTTATGTTTGTCCTGATGTGTGACAGCAGCAACAAAAAGCTGCTCAGCGTCCAGACGGTCGAACTACATCAGACACAAACACAGTGAATGACATGAACCAGTAAAGATTTATCACACTGGGAGGTTCTGGTTAAGATGCACATTCAGAGCTGAACAAATGTCTTAGAGCGCCACCCAGTGTCAGGTTTATGCCACTACTTTAACAGCTTCGTTTCTCATGTTTCTGTGGTGGTTGGTGCACCAGCATGGAGAAGCTCTGCCACTGAAATGATGTTTTTAATGCTAAATATAATTAAAGAAAACAGAAAAACTCGTTATGATTTCATGACTCAGATGTCAGATTATTATTTTACCGGCTGCCTGAACAGAAACATCAGCTTTAGTGGTTGAATGTTGATGATGGATTCATTCCCGACTCCTCAGAGGCTCAGATTTGGGTGTAAAAAGGTGAATTCAGTTTAAATCCCTCGTTCCTGTTTAAAATGGTGGAGAGCAGAGTGAGAATTAAAGCTCCTCATGGTGCCGGATGGTCGCGTAAACCTCATAAAATATCAGTTAAACTTTGACTGTGAGTGTGAATGTAGATGTTAGAAGTTCCTCTGTGATCGCAGTCTGAAGTGTAAAACCATCTGTTAACCTCTGAGTGTGTGTCTGAGGCTGACCGGTGTGTGTCTGCTGTCGTGTCAGTGTGGCCTACCTGCTGTTTGTGAGACACCTGGGAGGGATCCTGGCCGTGGCCAACATCCGAGGAGGCGGCGAGTACGGCCTCACCTGGCACAAAGGTAACGGCAGCTCACGCCGACGTCCTGACCACAGCTGAGGAACGTTTCTTCTGCAGTTAAACTCCAACGAGTCACAACTTTCTTCTTGTTAAAGTCAAAACGCTGCTTCTTAAGCAGAACTCGAGCTCAAAACAAGTTTCATGAGGTCTTTTATTAGATGTGACTTCTCCAGGGCTCCAGGCTGCCGACGGGTTTGAAAGGCGCCTTTTTGCTTTTTGTGTTTTTTTAAACTGCAGAATTACAACATTGAGAGAAACCGTAGAACACGAGGACTGTCTGATTTTTATCTTTTCACCTCAGTGACTCGTCTGGAAAAAACCTCCGACTCAAAGCTAAAAATCTGGATATTTGGTCAGAATCACTTGATTCTGCATGTCTCGTTTAAAGATTTTGTAAAAAGCGAACAGTTGCACTGAGCAAATTCTGTAAAAAACAGAAAATTCAGAGCTCTTTGTTGTAACCGCGACAAAAAAAAAACAAAACTGGGCTGATCTGCAGGAAGTGTTTCCACAAAGAAATGAAAACAAACTGGTCATGAAAACAGTAAATTATCCATAAAATGTCTGGAAAAAACTCTAAATCTAATCTGACAATCTGGATGTTTTGTCAAAATCACTTTATTCTTAAACATTTTTGCAAAAAAATAAACAGTTTGCACTGAACAGATTCTGTAAAAAGCAAAACATTTGAGCTCCTTTCACAAAACTGATCAGAAATAAAACCAAACTCTTCATGTTGACAGTAAAAAACATCTAAAATATCCACAAAACGTAGAGTTTCATCTGGAAAAACCTCCAAATGTAATCTAAACATCTCAACATTTGTCAAAATCACTTTATTCTTAAACATTTTTGCAAAAAAATAAACAGTTTGCACTGAACAGATTCTGTAAAAAGCAAAACATTTGAGCTACTTTCACAAAACTGATCAGAAATAAAACCAAACTCTTCATGTTGACAGTAAAAAACATCTAAAATATCCACAAAACGTAGAGTTTCATCTGGAAAAACCTCCAAATGTAATCTAAACATCTCAACATTTGTCAAAATCACTTTATTCGGCGTATTTTAAAAATTCGCAACACATTCTGGAAAAAGCAAAAAATTCTGAGCTGATCTGCTGGAAATGTTTTCACAGAGCTGATGAGAAATGAAAAGATATCTATAAAAAATAAAATATCTAGAAAATGTCTGGAAAAAGCTCCATATCTAATCTAGAAATCCCACCGAGCTGTGACTTATGGAAACATGGAGTCAGGTTGGAGACAGATCGCCGATCAGATCGTCCCCGATGGACGGTTTTACTCAGAAAACATTAGAAATGAATTCTTTGGGCTTTATTTCGGTGCCAAAACGACGGTTTCTGTGTCTGCAGGAGGAACTTTAGGGAACAAACAGAACTGTTTCGACGACTTCCAGTGTGCAGCCGAGTTCCTGATCCAGGAGAAGTTCACGACGGCCGACCGCATCGCCATCAACGGGGCGTCCAACGGAGGCCTGCTGGTCGGTGAGTACCGGTACCGGTTTTAGTGGAAACCTGGTGATACACGATGAAGAAAGTCAGAGGACGAAGAAAGGAAACGTGTTAACATTAGATCCTGGAAAGGTTGATGACTTGAATGACTTTTGGCTTTTATCTGCTGAAGTTCTGTGGATTTTCTTCATCAGATCCATTTCTGATCAGCTGTAGTGGATCAATGAAGCTTTGCTGCCATCTAGAGGTGGTTTCTGCTTCTAAACAAGACTTCTCACTTCATTTACTGCAGAAGTTTAACATTTAGAACATCTGCTACAAAAACAACAGCAGACTTTTAGCTTCTTTACTGGTTTTTCCTGCTTTTCAGTTTTATTCATCTGAAAACGAAGCAACTCAACAATCATTAAGTTGTTTTTAATCTAAAACCCTCCAGATTGTCTGCATGAAGCTGCTCTTGTGTTCTAAAACCTGTCGCTGTGTTTCATTACAGCAGAAAGTGAGGATTTGCTGTAAAGTTCTGTTATTTTTTCAGATTCTTACAGGAGTTTTGTTCTTATTTGCAGATTAATTCATCACAAACAGATGCAGTTAAGAAATCATTTAGTGATTAAAATGCTTCAGGTTGTCTGTTTTTTAAACCCTTCAGTGAGTTTTATTCCTGCAGAATGTGAGAACTTGCAGGTTTTATCACTTCACTTTCCTACAGGTTTGTCAGATTTATTCATCTTGAAATGAAGCAGCTGAGGAATTATACCAGTGGTTTTTCATGTAGTTTCAGCTCTGGAGCCTTGAGCTTTATTTTCATGGCTAAAATCTGCTAATTGAACTTGACTTTTACCTCTAATTTAACACATCAGCTGCTTTTTGTTTGCAATTTAACCCACGATGCCTAAAATGATGCCATCTGATAACATCCACCTGATCTCAGAGCTGCTCAGATTAAAAATGCTTCTTTGGCGTAACCGCTGATGTCAGGTCCATCAAACAGGAGCTGGCTGCTTGGCTTCAATTAATTAATCCATTAAACAGCACATTAAGCGGTGCTTAGTCACATCGTTTACTGGAGGCCGGCTGCCATCTGGCACCGAGCAGACCCAGTGGACCCAGTGGACGCCTGTTGCGTCGCTGGACGTCGGCGAGCGACATGAATAAAATCGTACGTTTGGTGTTTTCACTCAGCCGCCTGCACGAACCAGCGTCCGGACCTGTTCGGTTGCGTCGTGGCGGAAGTCGGCGTGATGGACATGCTGAAGTTCCACAAGTTCACCATCGGACACGCCTGGACCACCGACTACGGCTGCTCCGACGACGCCGAGCAGTTCAAGTGGCTCATCAAGTAGGAAAAGATCCCACAGCTGATGAATAGAACACAACCACAGAAAAATACGACTAACACGACAAATTTACC